AGACAAGACCCAAACCTGAATCTGCTTAACTCTTGAAATCAGTAGTGGGCAAAACACACTCTGCATGCGTGTTAGCATGGTGATTCCCATCACCATCAGCAAACAAGTCTCAACAGCATTAAAAGGCCATTCAAAAAATTCAAAACTCTCAAATGTAAATGGTCTGGGGGGACGACTAGGAGGGTAAAAGGATGTCTCCTTCACAGGTTGAGCACCTGAGAAGGAGAAAAAAGATGTGTAATTGCTAAGCACCTCCATCATATACCTCCCAAAGTATAAAGGTGGTGACCACACTGGGAACATAAACCAGATCAGTTTCATGATCAATGATTCTATTGTATTACAAGTCATTACCATAAAGTACAATGGGATAAAAACCTTAGCCCAAGCCCCACACTTGAAAAACACTAATACAGCCAATACCGGATGGACGTAAGATATGGTATACTGAAACTGTGAGATCAAGAGGAAAAACCTTGAGAGCCAATAAATCAGCATTGTGACGAGTGACTATCAATCCAGTCAGATCTGTTCTTATCTCAACCCCTCGTGCCCCACGTTGGGCGCCAAAAAGAACTGTCGTGGTTTAAACCCAGTCAGGTAACTTGTTCACTCACTCCCAGTGAGTGGTGCCGAGCTGACAACAATCAAGGTCCGTGTCCGTCTCCCCCCCCCCCCTGCACCGGGGCTCTCCCCTTCCCCGCTCCCGGAGGAACGGGGAGGAGGATCGAGAGAGTGCAACTCCTACGGGTTGAGACAAGAACAGTCCAGCAACAAATCACCACCGCTACTATCAGCTAAAACAATGATAAGGGAAAATAACAAGGGAAGAGAATACGATACCACCGGCCAAGAAAACGAGTTCCACCCGGAAGCTCCTGTCCTTCCGGGTAACTCCCAGTTACCCCCCACCCCGGGCATGACGTGCTGTGGTATGGAATACCTCCCCGGCTAGCCCGGGTCAGGCGCCCCGTCTCTGCTTCCTCACAGCTTCCCCTCCTCCCTGGCAGAGCATGAGCCTCACAGAGTCCTTGGTCAGGGTAAACATCACTTAGCAACAACCGACAACATCGGCTTCACCAACGCTGTTCTCCAACTAGAAGTCAAAACACAGCACTGCACCAGTTAACACAAAGGAAAAAACATGACTGCTACTGCTGAACCCAGGACAGGTGTATGTCCCCTTCCATTTGGGGCGTAGGGTCTTATAAGCATTTTGTTCACATAACCAATACCATACTTTCCCTTTCAGGAACGGGCCACCACTGAACTATGATACCATCTATTTTAATAGTGTGATTGCAATTTGAATAGTGACCTACACCTGTGGCATTTAAACAAACAATCTCATACTCTGGTTCCTGGTGTAATACATCTTTGTACACAGGTATAATATTCTTTACCTAGATTAGGATTAACTATCCCAAATTGTAACCTTTCCCTCAGATGTAGATTGCTAGTGTTCACCCAAAAATTTGTCCATGAGATAGGGTTAGAAATTGGAATGCCAATTAATAGAAGGTCCAGATTTTCTCCTGATTTAGGCAACTGTGCACACACCCAACAGTCACTACGATTAACAACTTTAGAAACATTCTGCATTAATTTCATGTATAAGCTTTGGTCCCAAGCTGGTGCGCCAGTTATCATATGAGTCCAAAATATAACCGACGCAATTTCATACGTAAGGGTCTTGAAGGTTCAATCCGCCATGTCTTCTCTGGCTGTGGTGATTTCTTTATTCTTGATTAATGTATCCAAGCAGGTTGTTCTTTTATCTTCACTGCTGTAAAGGTGGTCAATAATATCTGGTATGGTCTGTTCCACTTCTCCTGTAGAGGATCTCCTGAAAAATTCTTAACATAAACCCAGTCTCCAGATCTGAAAGGGTGAATTGGATAATCCAAGCCTCTCACTCTTGCCCTAATATTCTCTTATTTATTTCTTCTAATTGTTTTCCAAGATTGACCAGAAACTGTTGGAGATAGCCTTCTCCCACTTCTTGAAGATTTTCTCCTTTAAACTGGGACTGATATGGTCTTCCATATAAAATTTCAAATGGGCTAACCTCTTCTTTCGACCGAGGTTTAGTTCAAATTATTAATAGAGCCAGTGGTAAGGCTTGGTACCAATATAAATTCATTTGCTGTCATATTTTACCAGTCTGTTGTTTAATAAGATGGTTCATCTTTTCTACTTGCCCACTGGAGTGAGGCCTTTATGGGACATGTAAGTTGCCCTAATTTTGCTAATTTTTTGTAACAATTTTGCACTGAAGTGTGAACCCCGGTCAGAAGAAATTGCCACTGGTACTCCAAAACAAGGTATTGTACCATTTAATAATGTTTTAATCACTTGTCTTGCATTATTTATCCTACAAGGGAATGCTTCTGGCCAGCCTGAAAAAGTATCCGTTAACACCAACAAATATCGATAACCCCTTTTTCTTGGTAATTCAGAAGCATCTATTTGCCACTGCTGTCCCAGATAACTTCCTCTCCCAATTGTCCCAATTTGATTTCCATTTTCAATTTTAGGATTATTCTTAAGACAGAGCTGACATTGTTTTGTCACTATTTGAACTGTGGTGTATAGATTCCTTCCTACAATTTGTTTGTCTAAATATTTATACAAAGAGTTACTACCCCAATGAGTTTTAGTATGTTCCTCCTGAACTAACTTCCAGAGTTGGTTATAGGGAATTACAATTCGCCCATCAGGTATCTGAACCCAACCCTCTTTATTTTCCTCTCCTTTGAGATCTCCAATCAATTTTCTATCCTCCTTTGAATTTAGATTAGGTTTAGATTTCTCAATTCTAAATTTGACATCAGGGATTAAGGACATGATTTTAGATTGTTCAGCTGCTTGTTTGGCTTCAAAACTGATCAAATTGTTTCTAATTTCCTGATGAGAGTCACCTTGTTGATGCCCTCGACAATACAAAATAGCTACTTCCTCAGGTAGCTGAACAGCTTCCAGTAGTCGCAGAATTTCTGTAGCATGTTTAATCTGTTTCCCTTGTATGTTCAAAAGTCCTCATTCTTTCCAGATGGCACCATGTGCATCTACCACACCAAATGCGTATTTAGAATCAGTCCAAATATTTATCCTTTTGTCTTTAGCCAATTCCAGGGCTCTCGTTCAGCGTCTTCCAGAGGTTTCTTTCAAATCTGGTCGGCTTGAATATACAGTCTCTATAGTGGCCAAGCAGTCATGTGTTAATAGTTCTGTTGGTTGTTCCTGCAAAATGATGCTGGATTGACAACATTAGTGACCACAATTTCTGTACCATCGTGTTGCACAAGGGTGGCCTGGTATTTTAAAAACCATGAAGGAGATAACCAGTGGGCTCCTTTCTGTTCAAGGACTGCTGATACAACATGGGACACTAGCACAGTAATCTTTTGTCCCAAGGTAAATTTGTGAGCCTCTTCAGTATTCATGACAACTGCCACCACAGCCCTTAGGCACCCGGGCCATCCTCTGCTCACTTCATCCAGCTGTTTTGAAAAATACACCACTGCCCTCTTACAGGGTCCTAGTTTCTGATTAAAGACCCCCAAAGCTATTCCCTGTTCTTCACAGGAATATAGCCAAAAGGATTTAGTCACATCCAGAAGTCTGCATCCAGAGCTGCACCTCTCATTAGCTCTGTTTTTAGATTTCTAAAAGCCCCCTCTGCTGAATCAGTCCATTCCAAAGAGGGAGGATTTTCTTTTAACAGTTCATATAGTGGTCTTACGAGAACACCATAACCATGGATCCAAAGTCTGCACGATACAGTCATTTCCAGGAACATCTGGAACTCCTTGATGGTTGATGATCATGGAGTTTGACAAATAGCTTCTTTTCCAGCAGTTCCAAGTGGGTGGTTTCCATGATTCTAGTTCCAGTGCTAACTGATTTCCAAAAATCGTTGGACTGTTTTTAAACCCTTGAGGTAATACCAGCCAAGATAATTGGGTTTTTCTTCCCATGTCAGGATTTTCCCATTCAAAAGCAAATAAATTATGGGTTTTTTTGGCCAATGGTAAGCAAAAGAAAGAGTCCTTTAAATCCAAGATGGCAAACCATTTCTGATTATTATTCAATTTAGTCAATAAGTCATACGAATTAGCTACTACTGGATGAATATCCTCCATAATTTTGTTGATTGCTCTGAGATCTTGAACCAATCTGCAACTTTTCCCATCATATTTCTTTACTGTCCAGATAGGAGGATTATGTTCCAATTCACATTCAATTAATAATCTATATTTTAAAATTTAACAATGATTTATATGATTCCCTTTGATCTTCTAATTTTAAGGGATATTGTTTTATTCTAATTGGGCAGGCCCCCCTTTTATTTCCACTTTAACAGGCAAAGCATTTTTTTTCCTTACCTGGAACTTCAGATGCCCATACTCCCACATATACCTGATTAAGGATTTCTTCTATTTCAGGGAGGTCCTCCTTTTTGCTTTTCTGCTGAATTAAATATAAACTCAAAACTGCAATTAATTGACCATTTTTAACTCTAAATTCCATTTTGCCTTCTTTACATGTTGCTTCTCACCCTAATAAAGATTTTGGAGAATTTGGCATGCATAAAAATTTATGCATTCCTATTTGTTTTCCCAATTTGTACTTTAAAGGTTTCAGAAAAAATGCCTCTTTTTATTTTTTTTCTCTTGGTGGCCAGTAGCTCCCATATCTGTAACAAATTCTTTTCCCTCTGATTTAACACCAAATAAGTTGCTCCTGTATCCACTAAAATTCCTCTTTATTTCCTCTAGTCCCTAGTTTTGATTTAACCAGTGGATCTGCTATGGTTGATTCCCCAGTTCCCTGTCAGTCTAGTTCCAATTCAGTCACCGGAGACACCCCATGGCACTCCCCATCCCCCAGGGCAGTCTCACTTCCAATGTCCAAACTCCCCACAGCAGGCACACCGATCTGGTTCCACAGAAGAACCCATGCCCCCACCTCCACCTGATATCTGCTAGTCCTGATACTTCCCCAATAGATGTTTACACCAGCTTAATGGGTTCATTAACACCACAAACATAGCAATCATCCTGTCCTTCTACCTATCAGTTAATTTAACTGCGCCCATCCTGGACATCTGCTAGTCCCAGATACTCCCCATCCCCAGGTCCCATTTTTCTATTCTGTTTTTCTTACACTTTTTGTACTAAGGTCTTAAGGACCTAAAACTATGTCAGCTTCCTTCAAGCACCTCAGTTATTTTCCATTACAAAGCCATCCAACTTGACCTTACTTAGAACTGATTACATTTTATGCTTTTGTGCCTCCTTGTCTCAGGTCCCACCTCATGGGGGGAGCCAGTGTCAAGGTGCAAGCATCCTGCAGCTCTGTGTGCCAGGAACGGGATCCAAATGCCCCCATAACATCCCTTTCCCCACCCCAGGTCCTTTGGGTTGGGGGAATTTCTGTCCCCTGCCCTGCTGTCTCCATCCTGAGGGGACAAGGAGATACCTAGCCCACAGTGAGTCTGTCCCTGTGCTGGCTTACCTGGCAGCGCAGCGATGGTAGGGCCCCGTGGCACATGGTGCCGGGGCACAGCTGGGTCCTGCTCCAGCACTGACCTCAGGTGGGCTGGGGGACTGGGTGTTGCTCCAGTGGGCACACGAGGTATCCTGACACCATTGGTGTCCCTCAGCATGCCACCACCACTGGCAGACAAGCTGCCCTTTGCATGGGCTCCAGCACAGGCCATGTTTTTGTCTGTCAGACACAAAGGGGCTGCATGGGACAGGGGGTGTGGGGCTGCAGTTTCCAGCACAAGGCTCTGGGCAGTTCTGCCCATCCCACCAAGCCCTCCCGGGAGTCTTGCTGCCCCCTAAACTAGACTGCCCACGGGGGCTGGTGGGACCCTGGGATGGAGATGCTGTCACCAACACGGCATGTGCTGGTATTGCAGAGTTTGGCAAGGAGATGCTGGTCCCGGCGCACCCAGCGGGGACCCCCACCCATGGGCCAACCCAGCAGCCCCCCGGAGCCCCTGTTGAGGAGCAGGGTGGCATCCCCATCCCCATCCCCGGCCTGCTGCAGGTCACCGAGTGCAGACGTGAGTACAGCCCTGCCTGTCCCCTGCCATACTGACTGCCCCTAGGGTCTCCCACCAGCCCCTGAGGTTCCCTGCCAGCCCGTGCCTGTCTCTGAGGTCCCTTGCCAGCTTCTGGGATCCCCTGCCTGCTTTTAGTATCTCCTGCCAGCTCCTGGGATCCCCTGCCTGCCCTCGGCATCCCTTGCCTGCCCCTGAGGTTTGCCAGCCCATGTGGCCCCTGCCTGCCCCAGTCGGTCATCTTCCCCCACCGACCCCCCATATCTTCCCTGAGCACCAGCCCCCCCTACCCCCTCGGGTGCCCCCCCCAGCGCCTCCAGCCCCTCTCCGTGGCGCCGGGCTGAGCAGCGGGCGGCTCCCGGAGCGCGGCCGCCGCCCGCAGAGCCGCTGAGCAGCGTCTCCTCGTTGGAGGTGCACTTCGACCTGCTGGACCTGACTGAGCTGACCGACATGTCGGACCAGGAGCTGGCCGAGGTTTTCGTCGACTCCGACGAGGAGAACACGGCCAGGGAAGCGCCCGGCGGTGAGCGAGGGACCGGTCCCGGTCCCGACCCTCCCAGTCCGCCGACCCTGACCCACCTGTCTGTCCCGCAGGGTTGCAACCGCAGGGGGCGCCGCGGGCCGGGTATCTGCACTCGCCCTCCTGGACCCGGGCGTGGGAGCAGGGCCGGGAAAAGAAGCATCTCAGCGACCAGGAGCTGCCGCCGGGACCTCCAGATGCCTTTCTGCCCACTGACCGGCCGCGGGATCCCTAGGGGCGGACCCGGCGGTACCGACCACTTCCTTCCGGCACCGCTGGAGCCTGCCCTGGGGACTGGCACCGCGGGTCGGCCGCTGTGAGACGCGACCGGCAGCTCCGCTGGGGGAGCCGGTGGACCAGAGCCCGCACACCCCACCCCCGGAGCTGCCCGCAGCCTAGCATGGCCGGTGTCTGCCCGGTTCTCACGTAGCAGTGCTGTGTTCCAGTAAAACCGAGCGACCCACCACCGCCGCGCCTCTGCCCGTCTCCATCGCCGCTGGGGAGGGACACAGGGCTCCCCTCGGGCCCAGGAGCGCCGGGAGGGCGCGGAGCCGGCCCTGTGAGGGGAGAGAAAAGGGAGCCCGGCTGGTACAGGTGCAGCGCTGCTTTGGCCCCCGCCGACAGCAGAGCGGGACACCGCGACGTCGCGGCCCATTTGGCAGAGCTGGGGGGGGAAGGACACGACACTGGAGTCCCAGTCCCACTGTGCCAAAGCAGGGACACGAGTGATGGGTTACACAGAGGCTCATTAATGCTACAGGAAACCCGGTGGGGGAACCGGGTGTTGGCCCCCAGACTCAGCAGTGTTATTCCAGTAGTGCATGTGTGTGGAAGGGGGAGTTCCCCCAGCTCCCGCCACCCTGCCCAGCCCGCGGGAGATCAGCTCGGGTCTGTCCTGGTGCAGCATTGGCTCCAGCTCAGCTGGTAACACGGGCCCATGCTGCATGGGTGCAGGCAGGGCAGGAGTACCATACCCTGCTGCCTGCACCCACCTCTGTGCTCCAGGCATGGCCACTGCAGGTGGGATCAGTGTAGGGACAGCAGGAGCTGCTGTGGGTCATTACCGGGATCCCAGTCCCCCTCACCCCCGGGGCTCACCCAGTTCCCAGGGAGCAGCTGGGGTCTGGCAGCAACCCCCCCCCCCCATCCCATCTCATCCCTCAGGGCCCCATAGACAGAGGGTCCAGCAGGAGTAAAGAGTCACCCTGGTCCCCAGGCAGCCATGGGGTGCCCATGTCTGTCCCAGGGCACCATGGGGTGGATGTGGGGCCTGTCCCCACTCCACCCCCCCCCCCCATCAGGGCTCTGCCTCCATGCTGGAGTCCTGAAAGAGGGTCTGCTTGTGCAGGGTGTGGAGTTGTTGTAGTAGCAGTCCCTGCAGGGAGGGGACAGCACCGATCACCCCCACACTGGCCCTTGCGTGTCCCCCCACCCCAGTGCGGCCATCCTGGTATGTGCCATACCTGTGGAAGATGGTGGAGCAGTTGGTGCAGAATGAGGCATGGCTGATGAAGGGGAAGAGAACATTGTCCTCCTTGCAGAGCTCACAGATTAAGCCTTTCACCTGGCAGCACTGGGACAGGAGCAGAGGGTACCAAAGGTGCGCTAAGGGGACCCTGCCAGCCCCCCCATGGTGCTGACCCCATGGCACCAGCTCACCTCACAGTCTAACTTGATGTGCTTGGCAAAGAAGGTGTGGATCTCAGTGAGGGAGCAGCTCAGGTGCCCAGCCTCAGCATCAGTCAGGTCCTGCAGTGAGTATGTCTCATCATTCTCCAAAGTGCTGCCAGTCCTGCAGCCAGACAGCCTGTCACTGCTGTGCCTGTCACCCCTGTGCCCATCACTGCTACATCAGGCCCTGGACCCCCAACTCAGTCCTGTCCCCTGGGGCTGATCTGCAGCAGCAGCTGTAACTCCATCACCTCCTTTCAGGTGATAAAGTAGGGCTTCATGAGCAGGATGTCCTGGTGCAGCTTCTATGGGGGGACAGGACAAGATGGAATGGGACCAAGACATAAAAGGGTGGTGGCAGGGGTAGGATGGAGACAGGTACAGGGATGAGATGGATAGGGTGTGGGAATGGGACAGGATGAGGATGGTGATAGGGATATGATGGGGACAAGTCAAGCTGGGTCAAATTCAGCCCTGTAGCAGTTTGGCCACCCTCTTCCCTGACCCCCACTCCTGCCCTGATCCCCCTTTGTGGGATCCAGTGGGTGCTGCCAGGGTCCCCCTCTCCCTCCTGCTCACACCATGCTCCATCTGCTGTGCTGCCTGCAGCTGCCCACCCTGCCAGCTCCAGCCCTGCAGGATGGGATCCCCCCTGTGCCTGCACCCTCCAACACTCACCTGGGTCTCCACCAGCTCTTCCACACAGTTGAAGAGCAGTGGGTTGATCTCCCGCAGCTTCAGCACAGGCCAGGACACCATCAGCACCAGGTACCACATGCTGCAGCGTGACACCTGCCCACCTGTGACCACTGTCACCCCATAGCCACTGGGCCCCATTGCCAGGGACACAGCCCTGGGGATACGCCCCCCCCCCAAGTGACCTTTACCCAGGGACATGGCCCCCAGGGACCCCCATGACCAGGGATGTGGGTCCCCCAGGTGACCTCTACCCAGGGACACAGCACCCCCAAGCCCCCAACCAGGGCACCTTGTGGGGCTCAAAGTCCCAGTTATGAATAGCATGGGCAGGCATGATGGCCAGGTTGTTCCAGTGGCAGCTGCTGCAATAGGAGAGGTTGGTGTAATTGCACTGCTGGGCCTTGCTGGGCACCCCCCCGGGGTGGCACGTGCCAGCACACACATTGGCACACATACTGGCACCATGCCACACCCTGCTCACCCCACACCATGTCCCCAATGGACATGTGATATGCGGATAGACTCCACAACTTGTTAAAAGTTGTAAAGTAGGTATGCTTTTTATTCAGCACTGAGACGCATGGGGATAATTCTTCAAAGTCATGCGTACCTCAGGGTTGTTTCCCTCTACATTTATTCTCTAAAGTTATATATATTAATAAGGTTGCACAATACGCCTATACATATTCATGTCCTATCCCCGCTTTGTATTATAATGAGCTACAAGGTCCTTTGCACCGCGCATCAGTACACTGGTTAACCCTGTATCACATACAGCATGCAGTAATGTTAGCGTCGAGACAAACACATAACCACTGGGATGGTTATATGAGGTGCTTTATTGAGGCGCCGGGAACCAGGGCTACGCACCCAAATCTGGTTCCGACTCCCGTCACATCACGTTCGCAATTTATACGCTAAAAATTTCGTAACTAATACATATTCAACACAGATTACATCATTTACTAATACATATACATCAAGGATTGCTACATCAGTCTATTACGACATCAGCCTCTTTTGCGCTTGCGCAGCCCCCTCTGGTGGTCGCCCTGATGAAGTAAGGAGTCTTCCTCAGTGTCGTGGTTTAAACCCAGTCAGGTAACTTGTTCACTCACTCCCAGTGAGTGGTGCCGAGCTGACAACAATCGAGGTCCGTGACCGTCCCCCCCCCCCCGCAACCGCACCGGGGCTCTCCCCTTCCCCGCTCCCGGAGGAACGGGCAGGAGGATCGAGAGAGTGCAACTCCTACGGGTTGAGACAAGAACAGTCCAGCAACAAATCACCACCGCTACTATCAGCTAAAACAATGATAAGGGAAAATAACAAGGGAAGAGAATACGATACCACCGGCCAAGA